TAGATAGATAGATAGATAGATAGATAGATAGATAGATAGATAGATGATAGATAGATAGATATTATAGCATTTATATATATAAATGTTGCTCTAGGGGGGGGGAGGATCATCTTCTGAAGATTGGTAGCCCCATCTTTCTGAAATAATATTTATAGCCCTTCAACACATATACAGATAGTCCTCAGATTACAGTCATTTGTTCACCCTATTTCCCTGAAAATAAGACCTCCCCGGATAAGCCCCATCAGGCTTTTGTTGTGGCACAGCTGGCAGCAGATTCAGACAGTGAGGAGGTTGGGGAGGAAGATGGGCCAGTCCTGAAGTCTGGGGAAGGCTCTGATGAGGGCTCTGCGTCAGAGGCAGAGAGGGGGCCAGCGCCGTATGTCAGTTATCAGCTTCCTTCAGAGTCAGACATCAGTGAGGCAGACGAACAGCTGGAGCCTGTTCCCAGTGTGTGCATTTGCAGAATTGCCAGACGAAGGGAACAACTAAGAAACAAGGGTCGACTTGGGAGTAAAGCCACAGGTGGACAATGAATGGCCCCTCCCAGGGGAAATGAAAGAGGAGCGAAGGAGGAGTGGAGCTTGCAGGAGACAATTAGTTCGCTTAATTGGTTCGTGACTCTCTGAAACTCCTTGCCAAGTTTTGCAAATATCGGCCTGTCAGCTCTCCAAGCCAGATAAGGTCTGTGACTGTAAATCCTCCCTCGAAAGACTGTGCTGGATGTGAATGATCAGAATTCACAGCAAATTAATGAAAGGGGCTTTTGTCGGGACAAAGAGTTTGCTTCATGCTCTCGGGAAGCCTAGGTCACCCTTATAAAACATACAAAGTCCTGTGACATGAGTACTATAGAAACCGCATGTTCTTTTATACTGCCAATTCTACAGGGACATTCACCACTAATTATCCCTTTTATCAGATAATTGTTGTGTGCGTTATTTGTTCTACACCCAATTTTGCTACATTATAGGTAAGCTTCACCTACACGTGGTTCCAGTAATCGTTGATGTTAATGGTTAACTTTGCTTTATTTGTTTTACTGAATGATTATTATTTTTTTGCTGTTGTTGGTCAATGACCAAAATAAAGTTTCTGTCTGTCTGATAATAATGTGATTCAATCTGGACGTAGTACCAAAAACTGCATTTTTCTTCTTCTTTGAAACATTGTGATTGTGCTAGGCAATCATTTCTTCTTTAATGAGAGTTCCTTTGCATTTCCCCTGCCTGCCAACCTTAGCTCAATGGCCCTCTCTTGTAGCAGGCACACCAATTAATTTCTAAAATGCAAGTCTATAAACTTTAAAAGAAATCATTGACACTAGTGAGGAGAAAGCATTTCATTGTATTTAAAAGCCCCTTAAACTGGGACTTTACTACTGCCTTGCCAATGGTCTCTGAAGGCCAGTTTATGCTTGTTGTTTGCATAAGTGGAATGAATTAGCTAGAGACAGTTTGAACAGCATAATTTCAGTAGTCCAGGTCCCTTGGCAAAACAGTTTCTACGTTTACATAAGCAATAATAGAACTTCCTTTCAGAGAGAGTTGCTTGCAAAATTGTGAACGTAAGAAGAAAGCCAAAGAGGGAATGTTTAGTCTCACGGCATGTTTGAGATTGGTTTGTTTCTTTAATTTAGAGAGGGGGGGGAAGCAAAACTATTGCTAGTGAAGGGACGCAGTGGCTCAGTGGCTAAGACGCTGAGCTTGTCAATCCGAAAGATCGGCAGTTCAGCAGTTCGAATCCCTAGCACCACGTAACGGAGTGACCTCTTGTTACCTGTCCCAGCTTCTGCCAACCTAGCAGTTCAAAAGCATGTAAAAATACAAGTGGAAAAATAGGAACCACCTTTGGTGGGAATGTAACAACGTTCTGTGCGCCGCCGTTTAGTCATGCCGGCCACATAACCACGGAGACATCTTTGGACAGCACTGGCTCTTCNCTCCCCACTCCAGGGGAAGGATATTGCAAAATCCCCATTCCCTTCCCACTCCAGGGGAAGGATACTGCAAAATCCCCATTCCCTCCCCACTCCAGGGGAAGGATATTGCAAAATCCCCATTCCCTCCCCACTCTGGGGGCAGCCAGAGGTGGCATTTGCTAGTTCTCTGAACTACTCAAAATTTCCGCTACCGGTTCTCCAGAACCTGCTGAAATTCATCCCTGGTTTTTTCCCAGTTTACGACCTTTCTTGCCACGTTTCTTAAGTGACTCCCTATGGTAGTTAAATTAGTAGCACGTTTGGTCCATGAATCTGGCTGCCCCTATAGATTTTGCTTGTCAGAAGGCCGCAAAAGGAGACCATGTGACCCTGGGACAGGGCAATCATCATAAATACGAGCCGGTTGTCAAGCAGCCAAATTTTGATCACGTGACCACAGGGACACTGCAATGTGAAGTGTGATGGACGGCCATCAGTTACTTTTCTCAATGCCATTGTAACTCAGTCATTACACAAATGGTTGTAAATGGTTAGCTTATCTCAGCTAGCTCAAACAAAACAACTCCATAACCAGCACAGGTTCAAAGGAAAACTAACCCTCTGGTCTTGATGACTGACCAGACTGTATCCTGCAACAACATTATCCAGCCTCACTGATCTGTGCTTCTCTGTGCAATCCAAGCAAGGCTACAGAGCCATGTTTTCATGCTTTTTAATAGCAGTGCTATTAAAATTGTTCTGCACATGCATAGAACTGAAAAACAAGATGGCAGCGCCTATGGTGCCATCCAGGAACCAGTTCGGGGGCATGGCAGGCCTGGGTCGCTGCTGCGAGTTTCAGCGACCGAGGCCGCCAAACCCCCACCGGTTCACCCTAATCAGTCCGAACCACTAGGAACCCACCACTGGTGTTAAGTAAGAAATTGATTAAGTGGGTTTTGTCCCATTTTACGACTTTTCTAGCCACATTTGTCAAGTGAATCACTGCAGTTGTTAAATTAGTAATATAGTTGTTAAGGGAATCTGGTTTCCCTGTTGACTTTGCTTGTGAGAAGGTGACTCCGGGACACTGCAACCGTCATACATGTGAGTCAGTTGTCAAGCATCCGAATGTGAATCACATGACCATGGGGATACTACAACGGGCATAAGTGTGAAAAATGGCCGTACGTCATTTATTTCAGTGCCGCTGTAACTTTGAATAGTCACTCAATGAACTGTTGTAAGTCCCGGGCTTCCTCTATCCTTTCTCTGTCTAACCAGGTGAGACAGGCTGATGTAATGAGACAAAGACAGTTCCACAGGTAGCCTGGTCCCATACCATTATAATAATGACAGTTCAGCAATGAAATAAATAGCCTTAGATGCAATTGCGTCATCTCCTTGGAGGGCTCACCTGAATAGAAGGAAACTGTTGTGGCCTGTTGGCTGCCAGCTCTTCCAGTAGCCAAATCAGAGGAGGAGGAGGCTTGGGATCAGCATCAAGGCAATCTGAGAGCTCCGAGGGGGAAGAGGGAATGAATCTGGCAGAGAAAGAGATAGACAGACAGAGGCAGAGTCTGGGCCATCCGTCAGCCCTCATATGGAGAGTCAACAGCCCCCAGGTCTGGAGGTGGCTGATGAGAAAGAGGAGGAACAGCTGGGTGCAGTGCCGGATGCACAGAAGGCAGAGGAGAGGAGAGGAGTGGAAATCTATGGGCCGGTCCTTGGGACAGAAGGGTTACCGCTGCTAACTAAGCTCCACCCTAGCTCTGGGGATAAAAGGCAGGGGGCAGAGATGAATAGATGTGGCAGACAACTATTCATCTCCCTACCGGACAGACTTGTTGGCCTGTGTTGAGAGAGAAACTTTTTGCCGGAGCTGCTGGCACTCCTAATAAAGGAAACATTGATTTAACTACAGAGGGTTTGTTATGTTTGGAGAGCTGGATCAGAACAGAAACATTGAAAAAGTAGTTGAAGAACATGTCGGCTACGATGTCCTATCTCAGAGCAGGAATTACATTGAATGTAATTTTACTTTGAGAAGGGATGGTGTCTAGTTTTTTTTTTTTTAAATCCTTTTAATATTTTTGGTGATATTCAGGTTTCAGGTTTCAGGGTTAGTTTATTTGTATGCCGCCCTTCTCCGGGAGGGACTCAGGGCGGCGAACAACTCCGAAGGGGAAAAGGGGACACAGACACAATACACATAATTAAAATACAGAAAAGTCATACAGCCATACAAGTCGAGAGGGGAGGGGAACTCATCAACCCCAGGATCAATCAGAGACTTCTTGGTTTTGATTTTATTATTGTAGTGAGCCATCCAAAATTGTGTTTTACCAGATGGGTAGTCATACAAGTCAAATAAATAAATAAATATTTCACATATCATGATATACTACACACACACACACACACACACACACACACAC